CCCTTATTCTAGTGAACATGACTGCAATATAGTATTTATAGATGTGGGGTAGGCCTAGTCCACGCTCTCTTTTATGGCAGGTGAGTACATCGTATGCCAGCCTTGATTTTTTTTAGGGCCCCACACGAAGGATAGAAAGGATTTTTTCAATGTGTGGAAGAAAGAGCCGTCTAGATCTATTGGTAGGGTCTGGAACATATAGAGGATTTTTGGCAGAATCATCATCTTTAGGATGTTGACCCTTCCAAAGAGTGAGAAGTGAGGTTTGTCCCATTTTTTCAATGTAACTGCTATGTTATTAAGTAGGGGGACGTAGTTCATTTTATATAGGCCTTTTATTGTAGGTGTTAAGTTAGTGCCTAGATATGTAAGCCCAGATTCTGTCCATTGATATTCGTATAAATTACGAAGTTTGGTGGTTTTCATGGCATTTAGTTCTACTCCCATTAGTTCACATTTGTCAGAATTAATTTTAAAGTTTGAGCAAGCATTAAATGGTCTATTTCTTTTCTGACATGGATTAGTGATTGCTCTGGGTGTGTGAGGGTGAGAAGCACGTCATCTGCGAATGCAGAGACCTTTGTCTCTGTTCCCCCCGCGCAGTAGCCTTTTATGGAATCATTGGTCCAGATTGCTGTGAGGAAGGGTTCCATGGCCATAACAAATAGGAGGGGTGACAGAGGGCACCCCTGCCTCGTGCCATTGCTAATGGTAAATGGGGGTGAATTTGTTCCATTGACCCCGACTGTGTCTGATGTTCCCCTATATAGAGTGTGCACCAATGTTGTATAGTTGGGGCCCATGCCTAGGGAACAAAAAGTTCCAGTCCATTCGGTTGAACGCTTTTTCAGCGTCGACCGAGAGCAGGATTGTTGGGGTTTTAGTGTCTGTTGCGCCATGAATGATATTTAGGATGTGGGTGGTATTGTCCCTTGCTTCGCGTCTGGGTATAAACCCCGCTTGGTCTGTGTGTATCAAATCAGGGAGGAAGGATTTCATTTGATTGGCCAGAAAAAAGTTCCAGTCCACTCGGTCGAACGCTTTTTCAGCGTCGACCGAGAGCAGGATTGTTGGGGTTTTAGTGTCTGTTGCGCCATGAATGATATTTAGGATGTGGGTGGTATTGTCCCTTGCTTCGCGTCTGGGTATAAACCCCGCTTGGTCTGTGTGTATCAAATCAGGGAGGAAGGATTTCATTTGATTGGCCAGAAAAAAGTTCCAGTCCACTCGGTCGAACGCTTTTTCAGCGTCGACCGAGAGCAGGATTGTTGGGGTTTTAGTGTCTGTTGCGCCATGAATGATATTTAGGATGTGGGTGGTATTGTCCCTTGCTTCGCGTCTGGGTATAAACCCCGCTTGGTCTGTGTGTATCAAATCAGGGAGGAAGGATTTAATTTGATTGGCCAGAATTTTTGTGAATACCTTAAGGTCCAGGTTGATCAATGATATGGGCCTGTAGCTGCTGCTTAGGCTTAAGTCTTTACCAGGATTGGGCAGTATTGTGATTGATGCTTGCAGCATCGGGGGTGGTAGTTCGTGATACGTTGTTAGGCTGTTGAGTGCTTTTAGATAATGAGGGACTAGGATATGCTGAAGGGATTGGTAGTATCTGGCCATCCGGGCCTGGTTTTTTGCCCTTTGGGAGTGTTGGGTTTGCTTTGTGTATTTCGTCTTTCGTGATAGGTTGTTCCAATAGAGTGGTTTGATGAGGGGTTAGGGTTTTCTGAAGGTGGGAAGTGATATATGTTTTTACGTCGGGACGAGTGCTTGTTGGTGGGCCTAGATTGTATAGGTTGCTGTAATAGTCTAGGAATGTTTTGGCTATATCTTCTGTTTTATCATGGTGTTTATCATGGTGCACACCATCTGACGTCTTAATGTATGATATGTATGTTTTTTGGTGTTTGTCTTTTAGTGCCTTGGCTAGGTATTTCCCGCTTTTGTTACTGTGTGCGTAATATGTCCCTCTGGTCAATTGAATTGCTCTATGGGCCTTCACTAGAAGGAGGTTGCGTAGTTCCATTCGGAGGGCTGTTAAGGTGTTGTATGTTTCGGGTGAGGAATCCGATTTATGTTTCAATTCTACTTTGGAGATTTCATTTGTGAGTGACTGCATTTTTGCTATTCGTTCTTTTTTAATGCGTGCTCCCCATTTGATCAGGATGCCCCGTGATATGCCTTTGTGTGCTTCCCATACCCACGTGTCTGCAGTGCCCCTGTCTGTGTTTTCTGAGAAGTATTTGGTAATGGAATCATTAAGGTCCTCCCTTACTCTATGATCGTCCAACAGGGACTCATTGAGATGCCATGAGCTGGCCCGTGCTCCCGAGTCTATGAGGGACAATGTAAGAAACACCGGGGCATGGTCAGACCAAGTGATTTGACCTATGGAGGCTTCTTTCAGGAGTTGCAGATGTCTGTGCCCTATGAAAAACATGTCTAGTCTAGAGTAGCTATTTGCCACCTGAGAGTAGTATGTATAGTCCCTCTCTTGTGGGTGTGAAATTCTCCAACAGTCCACTAGTAGGTTGGAATGGAGTGTTCTTTGGTGGTGATGTTGTGTGTCCTTACTTGTTGTGGAACTGTCTGTGGAGTGGTCTACCCAGTACCACCACTCCCTCTGCGAATTTCTCCAGTTTCCTTAGACATGAATTTATGAAGGATACCTGTTTGGTGTTGGGTGTATATATTGTTGCTAGTGTGACCAGCGTGTTATTCAGTTTACCTTTGACAAACAGAATCTCCCTGTGGGGTCCGACTTGGATTCACTGTGTGTTAAAGGTCTGCGGGATGCTATCAGAATGGCCACCCCTCTGGATTTACCCCCATGTTAGTTGATAAAATATGAGTGCCCTATCGTTTTAGTTTGGGAGTCTGGTTTTCTCGAAAGTGGGTTTCCTGTAGAAAAATTATGTCGGCTTGTTGTTGTTCTATTACCTGCACTAACACTGCGTTTTTCGGGTGTGTTAAGTCCCCTAACATTTAGGGACATAAGTCTTAAGTCAGCCATTTGTAGATAAGCGTGTCTGGGTGTGTGTATTGGTTATGTGATTGCTTGTGTACCTGTACCTGGTTGAAGAGGTGGGAAGGGGGAAAACAGAGGGTATGTTTAAACTTGGGGAACTATGTACATAAAGCATGTATGGCACATGCCTTGAGCAGATGGTATCTAGCACACAAAGGATCAAGCGCATCCTGTGAGCTCCCTATGACACCTCTTGGGGGGTTAAGTGGTCCTGGACCGTCAGGACCTAAGGCCTGTAATCTATGGCATAAATTATATTTAACAATTTACATCATTGTTACTGTTAGCTTATGTTATCTTGGTTGCAGGTATCCATAAATATAGTGATAAAGATTAGTTCCCGGTTCCCGTGTGGCCGAGACCCGGGCCCTTGGGGCATGGATCACGTCCACACGGAATTCCGGCAGCATCGATGCGAATATATACATTAAACAATTTATACAGTGTGACATGGCATTAATGAGGCATTAATAGTGTGTGCCATGGAGGCATTGTCAGCAAATAAAAAGGATATGCTAAGTTTTCATGGGGTTCTGTGTGTTGCGCCCCTTGGTGTCATTGTTAGTTCATTGCCCGATTGGGCTCGCTTTGGTCTCTTTCTTGGGGTGCGTTGCCATTTGGCCCGTTGGGGAAGTTGTCTGTCCTTATCTGATGGTAGGCCTGTCCGGTCTTCCACAGGCTCCGTTGGGAGTCCCAGGGCCTGTTGAAACGTAAGAACGTCCGCGGGAGTCGAGATTGTGTGCGTAGTCCCTTGTCTGTTTACCAACAGTGCAAAAGGGAACGACCACCGAAATCGTATGTTGCGCTCTGTGAGGGCCGACGTGTCCGGTCGCAGTGCACTTCTTGCAATAAGTGTAGATTGTGCCAAGTCCTGAAAGATCAATATTTTATGGTCGGTGTGGATAATTTCTCTAAGTTGCTTGGCTTTTTGCAGTATAGTTTCTTTTAGTGGGTAGTGGTGCAGTCTGCAGATGACGTCCCTAGGTTTCTCGTTCGGCAGTGCTTTGGGCCTGACCGCTCTGTGTGCTCGATCAAAGTTGATGGATGTATCGTGCGGCCTGTTTAGCAGCTTATTAAAGAGGCTTGTGAGCGTGAGTGTTACATTTTCACTTTCCCCGTCTGGGGCCTCAGGTAGTCCTCTTATCCTAAGGTTATTGCGCCTGCCCCTGTTGTCCAAGTCTTCTATTTTCCTTTGCAGGAATAGTATAGCCTCATTGTGGGTTTGTTGTAATGATTGTATCTTAGTTAGCTGCAGGGCTGTTGTTATACCCTCCTCATCCAGCGTTTGCATCCTGTTGCCTACGTGGCTTACCTCCTCGTGGAGAGTTGCTAACTTGTCCACAAAGGTCTTCTCCATTTTGAAAAACATTCCTTCGAGGTCTGATTTGGATGGCAGTTGTGAGAGGAGTGTTTTGATGTCTGCTCCATCTATGGAACAGTCTGAAGGAGCAGGGCTGGCTGGGGTGCTGCAGTTGGGGGGTTTTCCCGCTGCCGCCGCCATTTTGGAGTGTGGATCTGTCGGCAAAATATCGCCGTAATGAAGTTTTTGGAGCGGTAAGTGTAGTGGAGGGTGTATTACCCGCTTGTGTCCTAGTTTTTTTTTTTTTTATGCCATATTCTAGTAGCTGCCAGGATTCCTGTGGATTAGGCCAGTCCTGAGCGGAGCTCGGCTCTCATGCGGCCATTCACTCCTGTGTCCCAAAATAAAGTATTGTATGTTAGTTCCATTTTGAACTGGGTGTCCTCTGTGGATTTTTAGGGATATCAGTGACAGAGTCTTCGGACATGTTGGCTTGCTGCATGATCCCTCTAGCCCTGGGATAAATCAAAAGAGCTAGGCCTGAGAGCCACAAGTACCTTCGTAAAGGCAATGGCAATCTTTGTAAGCAGAACTGCAGAGGGGATGATATCTGCCTGGAAGGAAAGCTGCAGAGGAGAAGATACCTGCCTGGAAAAAGGGCTGCAGCGGAATTGGCAGTCGGGATGATACCTGCCTGGAAGCAGAGCTGAAGGGTGGAAAAGCTTCAGAGAGACCCCAGTCAAGGCTTGGCAACTGGGGTTGAAGCGCTCCAGGGTCCCTGCAAGCGGCTAGGCAGAAGTACTCAGCCGGAGTACAGGAGCTCTGTCACAGCCTGTTTGGAGAGTTGCCGTAGTTACCATGACAACACTCCGAGTAGCTTGTGAGGGGAGAGAACTCTGTCTGCAGACGGAGGAGTTGCAAGCTAGAGTTCTCCCCACCACTGGGCCACCAGGGCTTGCAATGTCCCCCATCCCTGGAAAAAAGGTAAGAACACAGGAGACAGAATGTAAAGGTTTTTTTTTGTTTGCACCCATCACACACATTGCACCCCTACACATATTGCATCCCATACACACACAGCACCTCTATACACACTACACCTTACATACAAATTGCATCCCTCACACGATAAGGTTTATATAAACGCTGTCCATTTTTAAGAAGAAGTTAGTTGCATTACTCAATTACAGTATGTTAAATAAATTGGCTGAAGTCACTATGAAAATTGACTTTACCTATATTTGGAGTTGTTTTTCCTTTTTTATAATGTTGATTGTATAGAGAAGTGTAGCATCTTTTTTGGTTGTAACTGGAGTGATAGAGATTTTTTTTCTCTGGCATTATTAATTTCAGCAACCATTGGATAATCATTTACGTGCAGACAAACTAGATACTTTTCCAGTGCCACTTGTTTATTTGTTGTTAGCACGTTTGAGCTTGCCTGCATCCCATCGTTCCTCCCTCCTGAAGCGATCCTCACCAGCCCCCCAGTATTACTTTTTAAATAAATCACCATTTGACCACCCACCTGCCCCCCTCTTCCACCTCCCCGACTTCCTTGCCTCAGAGTGAGCACAATCCATGCATTGGCTCTGAACCTGTGAGATCGGTCCAATCAAATGTGTCTCTATGAGAAGCATTTGATTGGACATTGTAGAGGGAAGCAATGGGGAGATATGATGAGGCGCAATGACAGACTAGACGTAGAAACGATCAAGAGAAACTTAGCTGGATTTAAAGTAAGTTTACAAGTGACAATTGTCCAATATGGCATTCTAAATTTTAAAAAGCGCAATGTGATGGAGCTCCCTGTACCCCTGGCTGGGTACCTCCGCCAAGGACTGCTTCCTAGCTGGAACAGGGGACAAACCGCAGCACTTCTGCCCACAGTCGCCATGGGGCCCTGGAACCGCTCTCTCCTGGAGCCAAATGGGGAACTCGCTCTAGCAACCCCTAGGCACTGGACGACACTCAATCCTGGGTGCTCTAGTCCTGGAACCGCTCTCTCCTGGAGCCGAATGGGGAATTTGCTCTAGACACCCCCAGGCACTGGATGACACTCAGTCCTGCAAGTTCCAGTCCTTAAAAGACTTTCCCCATTGAATCCTCCACACTGGAACAGTGATTAAAGAATAGCCCATTCCCCTCCCAGTAACCAGACGACACATAGTTCTGGGAGTAAAAGCTGGAATGTGTTTAATTGCAGCCACAACTGGCCTTATATACAGTTCTCCATGCAAAGGGCACTTCCCCCTGGACCTGAGAGTAGACTGCAGTAAAAACATTACACAATTACATTGGCCCTCAGGTCCAGGACACTCCCATACAAAACAAGATAATCCCTCCCCTGTGCCTGGGAGATAATTTAGTCAAGCACTGTATTAAACTCAATTATCTCCAAGCACAAAAATCACACATTTCCCAAACACCCCAAAAGTACCTTAAAAATACATAAAGTCCCACAAAAGTTACATTCTCTGACAGCCCTGATCTGGGTGACCAACATATCCAAAAATCACCCAGATCAGTTCATGGGTTCAGGAATTTCCTGGAAGTCATAATTTGACCGACTGCACGCATGGTCCCATTGTCACGTATTCATCTGCATATAAAAATGTGATTAATGACATTTACTGTTCTGACAGGAAAAGTTGTGCTGAGCAACATTACTGCCCTGACAGGAAAAGTTGTGCCGAGCAGCAATCAAATCCACAGGAGGGTTTGTGCTGAGCAGCAGTTATGCAAGCGGGAACCTGGTAACTGCCTTTGGGGTCAAAGGGCGATTACAGCCTACCAGATCCAGAGGAGGGGTATTTAGGCCCAGTTCTCATCCTTCTCAGTGCCCTGTCATGGTTTCCCTTGTGGTTGTCCGAGAGCGCGTTCCTGGTTCAAGTTTCTTATGGTTTTTGACTTTGATTTTCCTGTATTCTGGTATCCCTAACTTCTGGCCTTACCTTATAATTGTGTCTCTTTCTGTATCCCCTGACCTCGGCAAGTATCCTGACTATTCTTTGGTACGTTAAGTCCGGCCATTCTAAGGCCCAGTAATACGTTACCTGTTAGTCATCTGTGTGACACAATTCTACGTGCTGGATCAACTAGTAATCCTGACACCCATGCCCAAAACAGTTCTAGAGAATCAGGGCTTGTGGTCAGTCTAATTTGGTAGTTTAAAAACGAACAAACTACCAAACATAGTCAATAGTCTTACCCTTGAGCTTGATCCCTTGTGCGTGGGAATGCTTCCACCGAACAGTGTCTTCCTAAGTGTTATAAAACCGAACACAGGCAATCATTGAAGTCCAGCGGTGTTCGGGAGTTTCAGTGTCCGAAAATAGTTCCATGAACTCGACGACCAAACAACGCTGCCTGTGTTCATGCGAACAAAATGGCCGCCAGCTCTTGACCGTCCATAGGAATTACAGCCACCCAAACAAACACTTAGAACACTGCGGTGGAACGTGCTACAAAGTATAAATTAGGCTTAACAAGCTCCAGGGTAATCTCCGGTTCGTGTGGCTGTTCGGTTCCCGAACCATATAGTCCAAATACAGGAACAGAGACTTTTACATCACATTTTACAAGGTCCATAGTCTGTGGGTAAGAGACTGGCAAGCAGGCTCCTCCAGGAACTCGTGGCAAACTCAATTAAAAAAGGGAGTTTGTCACACGCAATACTGAAAAAGGGTTGGAGTAGCCTTTTCAATAGAAAATGCAGTGCATTCCGTTCTCTTTCAATGTATAGATAAGTGCAAGTTGAGGTCATGAGCACAGAACAGGCACTTTCTCAAGGAAACAAAAATATCCACCGCAAGTGTCAGCACGCAAAACCCCAGGCACTTTTTAGTTTTTACAACCAAATCTGTGTTAAAATGGACAAAGTTCTCTGCAATAAGTGCAAATTGCTGGCTAAGCATTCTAGTATTTTGTATGAAGAAGAAATAATGTAAAAATGTGTAAATTAGCATGTACATTTTTTTTTCAAAACATATTGTCATTATTAAACAAAAAATAAAGAATTATCTTTAGAAAGAATAAAAAAAAAAATTAGCCTCCCCGTCGGGGAATCGAACCCCGGTCTCCCGCGTGACAGGCGGGGATACTTACCACTATACTAACGAGGACTGCCATGAAAATCATTACTGAAAAATTGTAGTTAAGGGAAACTGACTGAACATAGTGTTCGATTTTGTTTTCAGCATCAATAGTACAATTACAATTTCAATTTAAAAACGTTATCAAACTAAAACTAAACATTATACATTGCAAAAAGCTGTTACTCAACAATATGAGGAGGCTGTTAAACAGATAAGGTTATGTTTGCATGACTATATCTGGAATAGAAATGTACAAAACTGTATTATTTAGAATCCATGGTGAAGGCAGTTTATTGACAGATCAGAAACTTTTTTTTCTTAGCATAAAAAAAACACCATATGCACAATCTGTGAATCTGGCACTATCCACATTAACTATGTGCTTATATCACAAGCTTTTCCTAAATATACTAAGCAGATCACTAGGGGTCAGTATTGTGATGATCTACAATACAGCAATTCAATTCAGTGCACGGTTGGTTTACCTTAATAAAGTAATTAATACTGCATACAGATCACACTACACAATGTATAAATGCATTGGGACAGGTCTTTACATATGCATGCATGAGGAGAAAGATGGTAAACGTCTCTATATCCACTTTATAAATGCATGCATGGATAGTCTAAATAGATATGGGAGATATGTACATTTAGTATAGGTGCACCTAGGTTACTTGGCACCCAGGGTGACCTGTATGTTGTCACCCCTCCCCCTTTTGTCTTTTACCCCCTCCTTTGTCTCTTTCCCCTTTGTCTCTCTTAACCTTTTTGGTGTTTTTAATCTCCCTTTTGTCTCTTACCCCTTTTTGTGTTCTTATTCTCCCTTTGCATCTTAACCCCCTTTTTGTGTCTTTTAAACCTCTCTTGTGTCTTACACCCCTCTTGTGACTCTTATGCCCACTTGTCATGTCTTACGCCCCCTCGGGGCTACTATGCCTCCCTTGTAGCAGGGCAAATTTTCTCTATGACACTGACACACTGGCTTCATTGCCAGCATGTGCTGTGGTTGCTATGGGTGGAGAGCAAAGGGACTTCTGCTCTCCCTTCCACTCAATTCCCTTTCTAGGAGACAATCCTTTTTTTAAAGGTTTATCTCTCTAT